ATTAATAATACTCAACAATCGATTTTTAATCGACGTTAGTCCTGAGTGGTTTGTCACTCGAATGAACTGTCATATGCGTTGCACTCCTATTTATAGGGAGGACCATGTCTTACAAAGACTCAAAAGATATGATTTCAAGCGGACCAATAATAATCAAAAATCGATTTTCAATCGATGTTACTCGTACCTGTTTTCTAAGTCGAATGAACTCTATCATGTGCTGCATTCATATATATAAGGTGCATTGAGGCTCAAAAGGAATGAAAAACGATCTTTTTAATACATGCTACTCCTACCTGTTTCGTATATCGAATGAATTCTAACACGTGCTGCAGTCTTATATATAGGGTGGGTCGAGTCTCAAAAAGACTGAGCACATGTAAAAATCGATAAAAATTTAACGATGTTAACGAAAAATATGTGACATTTTTGACCGTGAAAACGCGTTAAAAATTTGTTTTTAACGAAACTTCACGAGTTATTTAACGTTAAATTGTTTCTAGTGAGAAAACACGCGTGGAGTTTCGTTAAAAGCAAATTTTTAACGCTTTTTCACGGTAAAAAATGTAACATCTTTTTTCGTTAACATCGTTATATTTTTATTGATTTTCATATGGGGAAAAGGATCTTTTTAACCGGATGAATAATACCCAAAAAATGATTTTTAATACATGTTACTTCTACCTGTTTTGTACGTCGAATGAACTCTAACACGTGCTGCACTCATATATATAGGGTGGGTCGCGTCTCAAAATGAATGAAGAAAGATTTTTTTTAAATCGGATTGTTAACATCCAAAAAAGAATTTTTAATACATGTTATTCGTACCTCATTTGTAACTCGAATGACCTCTAACAGGTGCCGCACTCATATATATAGGGTGAATCGAGGGTGTGGGTGTGGGTGTGAGTATGGGTGTAGGTATATTCTTTATCCGCACCCACACCGACCCACACTGACACCCACTCACACCCTCCGAGTCCTATCCTGTCATGTCCTGTGACCGGATCCGAACTTCACAGCCGAATTCCAAAGGCCGGATCTGGGCTTCGGAAACAGACCGAAAACGACGGTATATGGTTCGTATCCTGTTGCCGCCATAGGACGCCGGAACCGCATTCGGGAACCGTACCGAAAACAGGCATTCATATCCGAACATCGTCTCCGGATTCCGGAATTGATGGGAACTAAGCCGGAAACGGAGGTCGAAACCGATTTGGGAATCCTGCAGCAGGAATTCGCTGGAAATCCACCGGATCCGGTGGTTTTCCGCCGTACGTCTTTGACCTGGGAATAATTAAAATTTCCAATATCTTCAGTCAAAATTCTGCTGTTTAATTTATATTTATTAGAAGAGAATATTTATTTGAACGTGTAATGCGAATTAAGTTCCATTTAAAAGTACATAGGAAAACACGAACTACAAAAATGCAAGAGACTTCTTAGTTAATGTGAGTAATTTTAAGAGTTTGAAATTATGTCTAGTTTTGCAAATTTAAGCAAAGAAGAGCTATACGATAGAAAAATATATTCCCCGCTTTTACTAATATTGGAGCATAAACTTTTTAGAATATTAATGTTTTATATTTCTAATTGCGGTTAGTGATACTGAATCATCATTCGTCTTGATTCTATTTAAAGACATCGGATGATAATGATTACATATCAATTGGATGTTTTTGTAAAAAATCTTCATGCGAGTGCAAATAATATAAATATTAATCTAGAAATAAAAACAAATTTAACATTTTTAACTTCTGTAATGTCTTAGAGAAATTACTATAGAAAGAAAGAAATTAAAGAATTTGTCTGAATTGAAGATTTGATCAACAATGAAAATCTAAAACATCTTTTATCTGATTGTCTTTCAAAAAAATTCGCCGAAAAAAATTTGAATTCTAAAACATTTTGTTTCGTAACGAGATGTTAATCATCTTCTCATAAAATACAAATAAGTCTTCAGATCTGCAGTAGATTAGTCAAATTACTTTTTTACTATTCTATGAACTTTCTGTTGAACAATCTTTTCTGCTTCAGTCGCTCTTCATAGCTTTAATTCTATTGACTTTCAAGTGCTCCCACTATTGCTAAAATTCTTAAACATCTCAGAGATTAAAAAGTTTATATGATTAAGTTGTGAACATAATTCTAAACAATTAATGAATTTTAGAATATGTTAATGAATTAACGAGATCGCTTTTTCATTTTACTCAAGATCTTGGGAAAAGATCATAGCAAATAAGATCTTTTCTAAGATTTTGACTTGTGAGAATATTCGAACTGATATTGCCAAGATCTTAGGTACAGATTTCTCTGATACGGTCAAGATATACAGATACAGATTATCTTGTCATGATCTTGATAATATCTTGCTTGCCAATCCCAAGATTTCAAGATCTTGTCTACAAGATGTTCGCCTAGGGCAACATCAGGTAATTATGAGCATTCTATTGCTTACGTAGCTTCGTTTTAAATTACAAATTCTATGAATAACGACATACCATAACACAATTTCCATCTCTCTATGACTATGAACAAATTGAAAAATGATAATAGTTCTCATGTCATTTACAATTTCAATTATTGAGCATTATGAAAAAAAATAGCTGCTATTACATTCATATAGAACAACATGTTTTCACAAAAGAAAAAAATAGTAATTATTCGATCTTGATGTAATATGTCAAAAAATGATTGCACGACAATAATGAAAGATCTGGAATCCATTATAACTATTGAAATTGGAGTAGATATTGACGAAAAATGTAGCATATTGTTTTCAGCATCGGAAACAGCCTAATTTTTGTATTCTAACCATAAGTGCTATCTTTTCTACAGTGTTGATGAACTTAGTCTTCAATAATAAAAGTTTATTAGTCTTCTCTTTCAATTAGAAAAGAACCGTTTTGTACAGAGCTTGATAAGTAGTCGAGTTATATGTACTTATTCAGTGATCATGAACTTTGGAAAATCCTGTACAAACAAACCATGACACGTAAATTGCTTCGTTTGAGTGATAAAAGCAATAGTTTTAACTACAGTCGCGTAAGACAACTACCATTCTATGTATTAACTCGAAGTTTTAATATAAACTTAATCAAATGAACGCCTCTCATTTGCTCAATGTTGTTTCAGAGCAAGCAGAAGACTATATTTGTATTGAAAGCCGAAATAAGAAAAGAGAAGGATACGAGTATGGATGTATGGAAAATGACGTCGGTATTGTACTTCTTTGTACACATACAGATCTTGCTAATGTGAAACAGCCTTGCAATTGTATTTGTTATACTAATTCATCGAGTTTCCATTAGGTTTTAACTTGAATGAAAAGGGCTCGCCTTTGAATTCTTTTCTAAGACAATAGCTTTGATGCAATATTTACTTCAATTATTGTTAAACTAAAGGAAAAAAAACCAATCATTGTTGTAGTAGTGGAAAAGAAATCTGAACATAAAATGTGGACAAATTCGCTTTTCGGTTCACCTACATGACGTATCGTATGTAAGACAAATTATCATATATTGTCTCTTATGCAAATTTGTTCCAAATTACACACAGTACCGATAATTTTTGCTTATATTCGCAGAAAAAAGTGATTCTGAGAAATGTTTTGAACAACATGGAAACTCAATAATTTCATGTATAAATGGACAAAGAATGCATTGAAAAAATACAAATACCTAACTCAAAACTATTATGAGTGGATAGTTTCATGTCTTTATGCTTTTTTCAATGGCTCTCATTGCATCAATATCAACAAAGTTCAATAAGTAATTTTGTTTTATGGTGTTATCACATCTGAACTTGATTTTTACTGTTATCAATAAGCTAATGAATATGGCAGAGCAAAGCGGATGACATAAGATGCTTTTTAGAAAAATTATTATGTTTTCAGTCAATAAAATATAAAAATATACATGAAGATGTCTTATCTATAAGAGATATCTTAATAATAGATAAGATTCTTTTAAAAATGATAATTTCTATTAGTATACATTTCAAAATGCAATACACTATGTATGCTTCTTGAATAAATCCTGAACACCAGCAGCTATCACCGAATTGTTTTCAGTGTTCGAAAATTTATTATGAGTCAAATGGATGTGAGTGTTGGTGTTTGCAATACGCACAAGCGCATCTACAGGAACACTCACACTCAACCTCAAATAACTTGACGCTGTTTATTGAATAAAACAATCGAATTCTTTTCAAAGTCGTTTTCTGGCAACCAACATCTTACAGATAGCCTAGGAATCGTTATGTTGTCGCTTTAACACGTATATATTGTCCAAAACTACGGTTTATTACATATAAACGTCGTTCCGAAGCAGAATTACATGAGTTGGCCACATTGTTGGTGATGTTTGTCTTTCAATCATGGTTATTATGTCTTCGTTGGCCAAGACGAAATCCACATTGAAATTCATTTTCTTGACTGTGATTCAACTGAAAGCCATTTCCATGAGTAAACATCTATTGCTCGACTATTCTTTGCCAGTACCCTTGCATACAGATCAGTGGACATTAACTTGTGAAGATATCAATCGATTGTTCTATCCGATCAGTATAGATACTGGTGAAACTAGAGCTAATAGATACTTTTTAGAAAGAAAACAAAAAAATTAAACAATCATGTGACACTGTATTCGATGGCACTTAACGACTGTAAGTGACTTATCACTTTTTCCATTGTGATAATGATTTTTTTTTGGGGCTTCATACCATTTTGTGGTAAGTACAGATTTACAATCATTGTAGACTCAAGGTGTAAATATTGATATACACACTCTATGCCCTATTGTACTTGAAAACACGATATATCCAATCTTATTTAGAAGACAAGCCCTACACTAGATATTATTTATATGTAATAATAAGCATAAATGAAAATATAAATTAATAGTTTCACATATCATTTATAGTTGTAGTCAAAATAGGCAACATAGGCGTGTGGATAATCAAAATAAGAACTATTTGAAGAATAGAAATCAATGTCAACTTCATGAATGTGTATTTAAAAAGATGCCAACTGTATTATGATTATGATTTGCAATGATAAAATCCAGTCGATTATCTCCATTAAAATCTCCAATCGTTACATCAACTGGACTAGAACCACTACCAGTCGAATATGTCTTTTGTTTTCTAAATCTCCCATTACCGTATCCAATTAATATACCTACGTTATCCGTACCAGAATTGGGAACGATAAGATCTAGTATATTATCTCCATTAAAATCACCACTATCAATTGCATAAGGTAAAGATCCACTACCAGTAGAAAAAGTATTCTTTCGTCTGAAAGATCCATCATTATTTCCCAAAAGTATACTTGTATTGTTTCCATAATAATTAGCTGTCACGATGTCTAATAAACCATCTCTATTAAAATCAGAAGCAACGAGTGCATATGGACCAGATTCAATATAATAAGTTGTCTGTCCTGAAAAGGTTCCTGTACCATCACCAAGAAAAATGCCTACATAATTTCCATCACCATTACCAACGGCAATATCAAGTCGGTTATCTTTATTAAAATCATTAATAATGATTAAATACGGTCCAGAATGATTACCAGTTGATAGTACAAGCGTCTTTGTGAATGTTCCATTACCTATTCCAAGACATACAAGTAGACGATCATTTTCATGATCGGCAACTACAAGATCTAAAATACTATCATTGTTTAAATCATTAAGAGAAAGTCCTGCTGGAGAAGAACCATTTCCTGTAGGAAATATTATTTGTTCTGAAAAGTTTCCATTGCCTTGTCCAAGAAATATTCCAACATTACTGCCTTTTCTATTAACAACAACGATATCCAATTGATTATCTTTGTTTACATCACCAATAGCAATTCCATTTGGTCCAGCATTAGCTCCATTCGACAGGCTTTTATGTTGTTTAAAAGTACCGTCTCCATTTCCAACTAGTATACTCGTAGTATCTCCATCAAGATTAACAACAACAAGATCTAAGAAGTTATCATTATTAAAATCAGCAGCCTTAATAGCCATTGGCCCTACACCAACAACTTGAGATGTCATTGATGTAAATGAAATTCGACGCATATTCACTGGAAAAGAAAACCAATAAAAGATATATTTCAAAACATCTAAGGCATATATCTGTCTATCTAACGACAAAATACAAGTCTTGCGACTAATATGTTGTCACGCTGGCATATTCAAAACTATCACTAAGTATGTATAGATTAAGCCAAGGATTTTTCTTATTCTTTAGTCGTAGATTATCATTAATTAAACTAACACGAGAGAAATCATTAAGAAAAGATTTTAATTGAGTGTTCTTGATATTCATGAAGTAACTTATAATTTATTTAAGATAACACTATTCAAAAAAAACTCATTACTATTATTTTTGAAAACTTACATGTTGCTCGATTAGGTATATAGATACTGATTAATGAAAGAACTATGGTCGCTGCCATAGCCACGCCGAATAAGCATAGAATCCAAAATGCAATTGGTATCCTATAAGTAATAAGCATTTATGCATAAAACTAAACGAAAGATTAGTTTTATTTACCCCCACATCGCACTTAAGTCAGATAATATCGTCAGTAACTATGAAATAAGTACATTAAATATGTAAGAGAGGAAACATAAATTGGCAATTGATAGATATAATAACTCTGCTCTTTTCAAATATTTACCTTGAACATATCTACCATCATAGATAGATATCTGTGATTTTTCTAACAAACTAAAATAAGGTAAGGTGTTACAGTGTCTATTTGACCATCTATCTGCCTTTTTTCTGTATAACATTTACATCAGGTCAATCAAAATTTATGTGTGCGTAAAGGTGCGAAAAAAAAATCAACTTATTTTGATTAATATTTATTTTTCATAATAGTTATACACATAAGTTATATTTATGCTTTTGAAGGTTAAAGAAAACATTACAAAAACATTCAACATTATTTATTAGTTGAGTTAATAATAAATTGAAGCAAAAACTGTACAATATGATTGAATATTATCATCTGATTTCACAATTTTTGCTACATACATTGATATCTTTTTTAAACTTTCTTGCAATTGTGGATCTTCATAATTATATATAACAACAGTGAAGCTCGGAAAACTGAATATAATAACAGATTATCTCAGGTGCTTAAATTGCAGACCTATCATCAAATTTTACGTTTTGTATCCATCATTATACTTTATCGCGACCATATTTTGAACGAGGATGAAATTCATTGATACAGAAAATATATATGCAGAAGTTGAAGAGTTGTTATCACTATTCAATTTTTCAACTATCTTGACAGTGTGAGGTTGTATCAATGGAAAAAAACAGACTTACTCAGTCTGAATCCGTAACAATAAATAGTGTTCAATACTCATTGCACATGTAACAGAATCCTCTCTAGACTTTGATAACAATAAGCAGTTAGGTTTGATGAAAGAGTTTGTGAGAAATATAAATTGATTAGCCATTGATACAGATCAAGAATAGGAAATCGAAATTCTAATTTCTCATCAATATCATCTGTTCAAAATACTTGATAACAAGAGATGGAAAAGAAAATAATTTTGAGCATCTCAGGAAACAGCATTTATCGCTTCATAATATTTATCACATTATTCATTGATTTGTTTTCTTTTTTCATTTTTAATTGTTTCATAGCAATTTCAACGAAGTTTCTCGCGATTCCCCTTCGCATTTGGAGTTGATGATAGTATTTCGAATGATACATCGATCAGTAGCTGATACCAAATGAATTAAACATTTCCACTTGTGATGAGCGTGTGGGTGTAAATGTTGATGTAGATGTGACTAGTATAGGAGTGAGTTTTCGAATGTTAATGGATGTGGTTGCTTGTCTTGTGATTGCCAACACTCTCATTTTTGACAGTTTTATTTCTCTTATAAATAAAAACATTAAAAAAGTTACAGCTTTAAACGAAGTTTCATATGAAGGCTTCGAATCTTAAATATTATTAAATGTCTTTTTGACCAAGAAGCTGATACTTTATCAATGTAAGTCTACCTTATGTTTCTATACTTGTACAAAAGTGTTTTTTCAATGTCTCAACAGACTTAGTATCTATTTTACATAGTCATTATTTCAAATATTCCCATACGGCGTAATTGATTGAAGTAGCGTTAGGACTGCTAGGCATTCCTTCCTCTGATTTGAATATAATTAGTTTTGTGTTGACTCAAATAGCTAATTGTTTCCTTTGAAGTATAGCTTGGTACCTAATCTTGATGAATAAACCATGCTGTCCATGCTTTTGCTTTGAAAATAAATACAAAGCAGAGAATAGTTTTACCCTTGCCTGATACATCACTCCATACTATAAAACCTTATTGTCGAGAACTGTTTTGTTGAATAATCATTCGATCGTACTTTGGAGCAGATGTTTGAATGTAGCAAACTTCACCTTTTTCTCTACTTCACTCAAGATAAAACTAAAACTCATCAGCTGTAATGAAATTTTCGTATTGACGGTTTGCTAATTTGTAGCTAAGCCAGTGTGATCACTGTCAACGTTTCATAATGTTTAATAATGTCAGTTTTTGATTTTTTTTCAAAGATGAAATCCAGTATTTTCGACAATGTTGAAGATGGTTAACTGGCTAACGTACATCGATTTTGCGATCACACGTTGGGTAGGTGGATTTTCCATGTTAATTTTTTCGATGATTTTCTTGACGGTAGATACCTCTAGTGATGTTTTTTTTTTGTCAAAAAATTTTAATATTGAATAGAGAATTTCGTTAACGACCAATCTTGCGTTTGACATGTGACACCATGAACTGAGCTAAACTTATTCCACCAAGTTTTAAAACTGTCATGATTCGGGTCTGAGAGTGATCTTAATGCAAAAGCTTCAAGAGACGTTTTTCGACAATATCAGAGATTTTATTCCGTGGTGTTCGTTTCAAATAAACTAGAATCTATCGGACGTAAGAGGAAGGATACCACAATGAGCCGACAAGAAAGAAAAAAAACTGCTTCATTAGATTGTGTGCATGTGACATCTCAAAACTATCTAAAAGAACGTAATCAAGCGGTACGCATAAATTGTATACAAATTGATATTAAACTTGATTATACAACATTTTATGTTGTTCTCTATTCAATTAAATCGAAAGTAATAGGCACTGATGTTGCGGAGAAAATATTTATTGTATTAAGTGTTTATGACTCTAAAATAACTATAGAAAAGGTTTGTTTATATGCCCTTTATTTGTAGATAATAAAAGTTTTTCAGAAAGTTCTGAGAATCAATAATGTTTGTTTCGTTTGATGATAATGTCTTTCTTTTATTTTCTAAATCATCGATCTATTTTTGATCTATAAACCAGGAATGATCATTGGACCTAGGTATGCTGGTGGTACCCTATTGCTTTGAATTTTCCATGTCGCCGTGTTTAGTGTAATTGAAACATTGTTTAACTTTGTAATTGTTCCATTTATACATGGAGCATCTTCTCCTGTAGCAGGACTTTGTTTGTTTATTGGTGACTGAACTACTCCTGTACTACCATTCATCATACTTGTACATGCATTTGCTGGCCATGGATTTCCTACTCTGTTATTAGCAATGATTGAATTCGAAAGTGTGATTGTTGTGGTGCAAAAGGCAAATGCTGCACCAAAAGCACCAGCAAAGTTATTGGCTACAGTTAGACCAGTGAATGATCCTGATACTGGACTTGAACAAAAAACTCCCGCACCAAGACCTGTATATGCTGTATTATTTAACAGATTTACCCCATTCAATGTAACTATTTTATCATTGGCGAAAAAGATTCCACCAGCTCCGTCTGCAGAATTATTTGCAATGGTACCATTACGAATCGATACAATACCACCTTGAATATACAGTCCACCAGCTAAACCACTTGTATTTTTCGAAATGAAGTTATTATCGATTAATACGGTATCGAATATGTTTTGTTCACTTCCATTATAAGATACACGAAAGAATGCACCACCGTATTTATTGCCTTGATTTCTAGTAAATCTTGTTCCACAAATTGTGTTATTTCGTCCTAATCCATCGAAACTTATTGCGCCACCATTACCACCATTTCCAGGATTTCCACCATTACCAGTAGCTTGATTTGTCTCAAAATGACTATTGTATATAGTTAATCCACTACCAAGAATACCAAGTGCTCCGCCATTTGAGCATTTATTGTTAAGAAAAACGCTTCCGACAATCACAGTAGTACCTCCACCTATAGTCCATACAGCACCACCTGCCACATCTTGACCAACTACAGGACCAATATTGTTCTCGAAGCTACAACTATTGATAATTGTAGTTCCTCCATTTTTCTGTAAAATAGCACATCCACCATCAACATCTTGACAACGACCATTGATAAATCGAAGACGTTGAATAGTTAATGTTGGTGTTGAATATCGAAAATCACCACGATCGAAATTCATTATGCGAGTTTTTCCTAATCCATTCAATGTCACAATACCTGCTCCATCAATGACTGTATCGTTGACTTTCGATACTTGCAAAGTGGTATTAACATTAATTGTTATGTTTGGTGAACTACCGCAATTAAATGTAATAATGCCACCTTTGAGAAGAGCAGCAGACAATGCACTTTGGTTACATGAGGCAGATGTACCAGTGCCAACAATAGTTGTTGGTTTTGAGGTATTCCGTAATCCAATGGATGAAATACACAGATTTCGTGGGAGTGGCCAGGATACAACCGTAGAAATTAGAACAGATAACCATAGCATAGTGAAAATCGAGAATGATGTATCTATCATTTTCTTAAAAAATGGAAAAAGGCAATTCTAAAAAAAATGCAACAAAAAAGTATTGCAATATTCGAAACCAAATATCTAAATGAACGTGTGGGTGTGAGTATGGGTAGGCAATGGTCTCCTCCTCACCCCGCACTCCAACTGATCGTTTTGGGACTGATTCAAATTGTCAAGAAGATAATGAAGATACATTATTCAGTGGATACCGAAATACAACATAAACTGCTGCATACTAAGAATTCGATTGAGCAATGCGTACTTCAACTATCTACAATACTCTACTTGTTGTTAATGTGCCGATATATGCGTCACAGCTTGCTGCTCTTCTTCTTTCCTCTTTCCTCTTTCTCTCTCTATTGTTCTCTCTGTGTCGTCTCTCTCCCATTGTTTCTGTATCATATATAAGTGTGTGTTGAATGTGCAATAGACACATTCTGGAGATGTGAATTAGCTGAATAAACATCATTGCCGAGAATGGCGAAAAGCTATTCAATCCAGTTTGTCGTTACATGGCGACCCTGGCGAGCGAATACATGCATATTCTGAAACGAAGTTGGAAGATTCCAGAATCAAGAAGAATTCAAAATTATCAAACTTCCAGTGAAGATACAAGTGAATATCAAGGTATGATAAATAATTTGAATGAGTGATGAATGCATGCGGCGATTAGAGTTGAATGACATGGCAGTGTTTTAAGTCTGTGGGGCACTGTCACAGACCATCAGTGGACGTACTAAAGGGCGGCTAGATAGCGGGCCGGCAGTGCGTAGGGTTGGCGCACTTTCCTTTGTAATATCTGTACGTTTCATGTCATTTCTCCTCGAATCCCTGAGTCATTTCTCACGTAATTCAAATTTATTTTCTCTGCCAAAACAAAATAAAAAAAAAAAAGAAGCAGCAACAGAACAAATGGATATCGATGAACATGAAATTGATTGTGTATCAGCTGTAAACAATTGATATTCATTCATCATCAATATTCACTTCGTGTTGTCAATCACCACCAACAGTTATTCAGCTGAGCATCTTGCTAACTAACGATGCGTAACAATCAAATATTAGAAGAAACATAAAATTAAATGAAGATGTTATCCTTAAAAGGCCTGAAGCCAGTGAAGAATTTAAAACGAAAGTAATTATAGTGATGATACTGATTAGAAAGTGTGAATTTTTTTTTTCTCTTCTTCTCCGGCGAAACATAAATAGAAGATGGGTTAAATGATAATCTTTTATGTTCGATCATGTAGATAATCGAAATACGATGCGATATTTTTCTATAAGCTATGTGTTCGTTTTTGTAATAATCTAGTAAGTAAGACAAAACAAGAAACCGTTCTAGGTATCGTTTATGCACTAGACAAGAGTTTCTATCCGGTATGAATTAGAATATTTATGTCTACTTATGGTTAAAATTATACTAAGCTTGTGTAACCGATGACTTGTGTTTTTTTTCTCGTTCTCTAAAATTGATATGTGTTGTTGTTCGACATTGCGTCCTACGAATGTGAAAATGTGCGAAAAAGGTGACTGATCATATGCGTGTTATGAATTCTATATTTCTATATTGTTTCATTTCTGTTTGCTCTGTCAAACTTTATTTTTTGTGTGATGATTGAAGCTGTGACGATCATTATTTGTATGCCGTGTTCGTGTTGACTGATCTTCTATTTATATTTGAAAGGTGTTGCCGAATTTATGAGTTTGAAATGTGATGATCACTCCTTTAAAAAGCTTGTTCCTCTTTTTCTTGACTGCTCTGTTCGTGACTCGATGCTATGATACTGTGAAGACGTGTGTTAATATGAAGTTATGTATGAAAGTCGATATTGTCGTTCGTGTATGACTGTATTTTCTACGATGAAGTTCAATCAATGAACTTGTTTTGATGTATTCTTTCTTTCATCTAATTATTTTTTATCGTTTCTGTTTTTCTTTTCTAAATTGTAAAGACGCTCAGGAGCGCGTCTCATCTGAGTGGGAGGGTGTGCCGATATATGCGTCACAGCTTGCTGCTCTTCTTCTTTCCTCTTTCCTCTTTCTCTCTCTATTGTTCTCTCTGTGTCGTCTCTCTCCCATTGTTTCTGTATCATATATAAGTGTGTGTTGAATGTGCAATAGACACATTCTGGAGATGTGAATTAGCTGAATAAACATCATTGCCGAGAATGGCGAAAAGCTATTCAATCCAGTTTGTCGTTACAGTTAAGTCCTACCTAGTGACAAAAAAGTGTTCTTAGCTAAGTAACTTTATCATATATTGAACTTACTTAGCTACATTAGCTGAATATATGAAAAGAATCAGGCTATGAAATTCAACTGAGTTGAGTATCACTAGTTCATGGGAATCATATTATTGAAATAAAAGCGAGATTGCACCATTTCGAAAGTACTAATAGAAATTTCGAGTTTGAAGCCAAATCTGAAGCGTAGACAACTTTTCCGATGTCGGCTCGGATTGAGCTCTGTTTGTCTCGAATCGAACTAAAACCAAGACATTGAAGTTAGATTCACTCCCCCCCCAAGACATCGATAAAACAGACTGAAATTTACTCTTTGAAATTTTGATGTTCATTTACATCGAGTACCTCTTAGCGAATGATCGACCTGGAAGATATAAGAAGACATAATCGAATACATATAATAATTGTTCAAAGTTTACAAGTGACACATACCCGAATCGAGTCGAGATGATTCAGTTTGAGTCATGTCCGATTCCGAACTCTGTCGTGGAAAAGTCTATTCAAAATGAATTCTGCGCGAAGTTATAATCATACGAGCAATACCGCACATCTCAAAGTTCTTGCTCCATCTTGTAGAGGATAATTCTCAGACAGAAGGAAAATTTCTCTTTTATTATCATGTTCTTTTTATCTAGAAGAACTCTCTACGAAAAGAACTTTACCATGCGAAACTGCCTATTATTGAATGCAAAATGCATCTATCGAGGGGAAAAAAATATTCAAAAATGACAGTAAAACAAATGAATAGTAAAGGTAGAAATCCTTCTGATTGCTTATTTATTTTCACAGAGAAAAATATTTGTTGTCTCTGATTTAGTATTGACGTGAAACAAATTATACTTTTGCACAGCAAAGAACATTCGATTGGCACCGATATTGCCGTCGGCTGTTGTATCAATAGTTGAGTGTTTGAAGCGGTGAATAGTTCGAAGTGCAAATAATCATTTCTTACTCAAGATTATTAGTGACAGAATGCATAAATGAATCGCATCAGGTAATCATGAAGTTTGTGTGTACATGTACTATGAAAGTACATTTTTTTTTGTACCTGATTGTGCAAGTGTTATTTTTTTGTTTATTAAAAATGAAAAACATTGTTCACAATAAAGAAATATTACATTCGAATATTGATTTCGATTAATCAAAGTTCTCATAATGCCTATGATTCAATCATTTTAGTGAAGTTGAATATTACTTGTTGTCTCTGAATTTCAAGGTTTGCAAAAGGACATGTTTTTCGACCACTGTCGCACAAGGCAGAGTGCATGTTGTTCAAGGCTTCATGGGACGAGTTTCTCGCTCCATGCGAATTTTACATTCTTTTCTCATGAAAAAATGTCTATTTTGCCTGATATTATATTGACTGTAGGTACTTCATATAGACGATCGGTAATAGGATTTGTTATGCAGTCATCATTGATTTCGTTCGTCTCGAGAAAATTTCGTTTCTTTCTATTTTTTAATAATTTTTTATGTAAAAAGTTTCGTCTTTTTATAGCAGTTTAAACAATTAGAAATAATATTGATTTTTTAGGCTCTATGTACTTCTTAATCATCTTCATTTCAAATTAATTTTCAACATAATGCTTTATAGTTTTTAATTAAAGAAAATCAAGAGTAATTCATTAACTGTGACTAGAAAATATGAAAGAAAAGTGTACGTATGACTGTGAGGATTTTCTTTACAGCTACATTCACTCTCAAGTGCAAGAGTCGCCACAGCCACACCAACATCCTCAGATATTTTTGACAAGTGCTTCGGGTATTCTTGTAGTAATCTTGGCATTTTTATCTGTTAATATATGTCATCAAAGCCAACAGAGAAACTTGATATACGTCATTCTGCATTATTAGAGCAATCCGTGTTCGAAAAGACATCCCAAGTTTTTTCATGAAACTGATAAACTAATAATCCATTCAAAAATACCAATGGATGGGATGTTATAAGCAATATATGCACGTAGTTCTCAAGAAGTTGCAGCCATGATGTAAAGGTAGTCCTTAAAAACTTACAAGTATCATGTCTAGATACACACCAATAAATTACATAAAGCATTTGCAGTAGAATAAAAAAGAATGTTAATCTAATGCAAAAAAAAGTAATACGAAAGCGTCAGGGTTAAGTATGATACAAATGGCTGAAGCAAAAATAATTTCTTTTAATACGAATTGGTTGCAACATAAATAATCACAAAAGATAAGGCTAACTCCATTAAAGAAAAAGATGTGGATCTGCCTCCAAATATTGTTTAATTCGAAATATTCCTGTAGACCCTTCTTCTGATTGTTCTAACGCTCTATTTCAGTGTGCACCCTCCTTTTTGTTTTTACACCGATTTTCTTTATGATTTTTTGAAATAAACTCAATTGTGTATGCAGAAAATATACAGAATAAACGTGTAGAAGCCTATTCTTATTTCGAACATACACAATTTCGGACAAAAAATAATTTTGTACTCATTTTCGTAAGCTTCAAAGAGTTCACTGACCCATGATAATAATGCTAAAAACTATTAAATATCACTCTAAATTTATATCTTATATAATCAAGATTACCCTAATGAACTATGAATAGAAAAGAAATCATTTCGTCTTCAAGTTTTTAATGAGTTTTTTCTGATTTTAAAAAGTTCTATCATTTAAAACCAATTTTCGTTAAAAATTTTTAGTAAGTTTTTGTTTGTCAAAAATAAATAATAGTCATATATAACAAGAAAAAAAATATTCGTCGACAATTAAATCAATTTGAGAACAACAAATATTTTTATCTAGAAATGAAATACAACATTTTCATTGGGTTTACTATAAAACAATGAATGATAGCAGAGCTTTGATTCAACTTGATTGAAACAATTCGATGAATTTTAATTAAATAATAATGTATTTCTATCGAGACGTAAAGATCTGTAAATATGACGAAGATTTGTATCACTTTTTGAACCTTGAATTAAATCTAAAAGAATTGTTGCTAAAACTGAGGATTGAACAAATCCTTCAGCATTTGTTCCCACCAATAAAATAAACTTGTTGCCGGTTGTTGTCAGCAGTCAATTGAGCAATTATTGGCATTCCATCTCGAGTCATCGGACGAATACAAAATTTTGTTGGAAGAATTTCTGATTCATTGGCATCGATTTCATCCGGTAAATAAGAACGTATTGTTGAATAAAATAATTCAATTAATTGATCAAGATAAAGCGATTGAACTATGCCACGTTGACCACAAAAAGCAAAACAACCTGTTGCATATAAATGTTGTTCATCATAACTTGGCGTTACATTAATAACACCGATTGGTTCTTTTTCTGCGATTTTAAATCCATTTTTTATTAAATGAACATTCGGAAGTTTTGTCCAACATCCGAGAACACCTTGAACAGCTAATGATACATTATTTAACAGTGGAGAATCCAATCGATTAAGACTTGAAGCAAATATTATTTTTGAAGAAGATATATCATCAATTGAACAAACTTGAGTTGACCATTTAAATTTAACATTTGGATTCTTTTCTAAAAATTCAATCATATTTTGACAAAGTTTTAGATGATTAATAGTAAAACCAGGCACTTCTATTCCAGCAGCATCACCATCTTTCAGTACAAGACCAGGTATTTTTTCAAGAACTTGTGAACGTGATAACATTGAAAGATTTTCTTCGCTTCTGTGATATTTTGCTTGATATAATGCAACAGTTCTTATTGGATTTGATAATGAACATATTTTAATAATTCGACGATTTTTAATTGTATCTTGAATTATTTGTGAATAGACTTTAGACATTTCTTCCCATAATTCGATTCCTCGTCTATTTATATTTGATACGAATCGATTAAATAAATTGACAACTAATTCTGGATAACCAGCTAGTTCACTAAATCTATCAATCCATACTAGTTCTTGATTATTAAATTGATCACGTATTACTCTCCATCCTCCTCGATCTAACGGATATTTTCTTAAACTATCTATTCTATAGAATACAGCATGTGGCATTGTTTCTGTTATAGATGCATGTCGAGCATCTCATCCATCAAGTGTTGTACCGCGACAACATATTTCATTTTCACTAGATACACTTTTAGGCTTAGGCCAATTATGTTCATCAATAATAGTTACTCTATAACCGCTTTCACTAAGAAAGAAAGCAGTCACTAAACCCATGATGCCTGCTCCAATAACAGTAATTTCTTCATTTTTTCTAGATGAATCAATAAAAAATGGCAATGGTGATTTAAATGATTGTTCAAGGACCACATTGGAAAGAAGAACAATAGCAGCTTGATCCATAGCTTCACCACACCCAGGTACTGTCATAGCAGCTGATACAGCTTCTAACTCTGTTGGAGGATCTTGAATTGTAATTATATCGAATGCGTGTGAATCTAAACGGGCACTAATTTGTCCTTGTCGAACACGTTCAATAAGAATATCAAGTGCTCCTTCAGCAAATACACGAAATTCAGTCACAGACACAATTCTTGCTCCATTTGGTATTATTTGAAAAAATTCTTTAGATAATTGTTCATTAACATTTGTAACACTATCAGCATCAACGGCAATTACAACATGTGTAGCATTTATAACAGCTTGCTCAGGTGTCATGGAAATATTTATATTGGGTAAATCAATACCTTTGCTTCTTCGAATTTTTTTCCGAACAGATTCATCAGGATTTGTTAATGATGGACTGTAAACATTAACTTTATGTTTAGCTGTAGATAAACGATACGCAATTCGCCTTCCAATAGCACCTGACCCAATAATTCCAATTGTTGAACAAGTATCACTATTTGGTAAATGAAGATGTTCAATCATATACTCAACAACAAATCGAGAATTCACACTTAATGTATTTAATACATTTATATTTAATTGTTTAGCTCGACTAACATTAATACGAGAAAGTGATGAACCTCTTCGAATTAATGTTAATTGAACATCATAACTCATAATTGCACGCCATAAATCAAGTGTTTCACTTTCAACAGAATTATTTCCAACAATAATAACATGAGGACGATGTTGACGAATAGCGACACGTAAGCTGGGTTCATCTTGAACTAATTCTGGTAAATAAATTAATTGATCACGATTACAAATTTCACTTTTAAATGGATAAGCAATCAATACTTGCATTTTTACAAGTTAATCGTTGTTTTTCTTTGCGAATATTATTTATTCTTCTTAAAAAGAAAAATAAGAGAAAATAACAACGACATTACTTTACGTATAGTTTTGAAAATAGTCATGAGTCATTTCATGAAGCTTAGTTTTTTTCGTTACGCATGACAATATTATTTTTATTTTTGTTCGTATTACTTCCGTTTACAGTTTATGAGGGCTGACAAGCATGTTTTCACAAAGGAAGAAAGATAAACATTGAAATAGAAATGATGCATATTCACTATACAAATACATGAGTAGAGCGAAAAAAACAGTATCGTCTCTTTTTTCTTACAATGATACAGAATGTCCATTATCTGAGACATTTATTCTTTAATACATCTTATTTAACACATATATATATCTGATAGAATTATTAGATATTTTAAACAGCTATTTAATGGTACAAATATGAACATATGTTGTACAAAGGTCAAAAGGAAAAATGTCGAAAACAGAAAGTATCGAGAAAAAGATGTGAGATGTCTAGTAAAAGCTCATTTTAGATGTCTATTGTTTAATATTGCCTTTCTTAGTATTCACTTGGTTTGAATCCGTATTAAATCATAATAGTAATGAGTAAAACTTGTTAGAGATTAGCTAAAATAGTCGAAAAAATAACTACTTTATCACTAAAAGTCTATTACCATGCCGTATCTGTTTTATCTTCAACAAATGTCGACCAATCATCATCGACAGTTAATGGCAACTACCAAATATTGAAAACTTACACTTATCGATAAAAAGTTCGTATGAACTGAAATAATCAATAAATTAAAATGAGAGATGCTTAGGATTATGCTCATCTTACAGATAAAGAAAATTTGAAATACGTGATTTTTTTTGGAGAAGTTTTCTTTTTTTCTCTTGTGACTTGTGTATGATCTCTATGAGAATGTAAATATTATCTCGTACAATATGGAATATGTTTTAGTATTTAAGATTTTGTAAAATGCTTTTCGACATTTGTACTTTTGATCTCACTAATACCAAACAATATGAATATCTGAAAACCTTTTATAAGATGATAGAAGTCTTCGATAATTATTTGATTCTTTTCAATCATTATTTAACATAATAGATTATTCTTAATAGAATTACATTTTAATTATCAATCTGAAGAAAGTACAGTCACCATTACATATTAATGATCAACATTGAATAATAGATAAGAGAAAAATTCACATTATTCCTCGAATATGACTTAGTTCAATCATTGATTTCTTTTTGAAATACCAAATCTCAACAGAATTTGGCTCTATATGAAATATTTCGTATAAAACCAACACTTGTCAATGTACTTGTTTTCCATATTTTAATGTGTTGAGATTAAGATAGTTTGAGTCCTGAACAAGTCGAAATTTGAACTAAGTAAAGACAATTATTTTCTGTTTTTTGTTATTGAATATGCAGCACAAACGACAAAAAAAAATAAACAGGTCCGAGAATATTAGCAACAACATATTTAAAAACTTTTCGATAATCGAATAATATTATTTTAATGTGCATGTGGACTAAATTTTTGAAAAACTTCATATTACAAAGAAAACTTATTTTGCTTCTTGAGAGAAGTCGAGAAATTATCGTTTTACTCACGCTCAGTAAAAATTTAAAACTATATGGCTGGATATTAGTGAAGAAACAAGTCGCACCCATATTCTAGTCCCACAACTACCTCTACAGACTCTCTCGCACAATATCTTTTGACTTTTGAAACACTCAGACGATAGAATCTATTCTCTCCTAATTGTCTTTGTAATACTTCACGTTCATGCATTTCCAATATTGCCTTGTTTATCACAGGTGATCGATACTTTGCTTTCCACACTTTGTTACATCATACCAGCAACGGAGAAAATTCGTGGAACTTGTTTTTTAACGTTTTCCTGAGAAAACATTTAATTAGTTTTGCATTAGTGATGCATAGATAGAAAATGGATTTTCTCATATCTCAATCGAAAACAGCTATGCTTATGTGAATCAAATTGAATAATAGCATATAATAAAGATAAATATAGTCATTATGATTTAATTGCTGTCGAATTCAGAGTAAAGATCAGCGTTAATTAGTAATTACAAATCACGATAGACCAAAAGTCATTGAAAAGTATCTTTTGTTCAATCAACATTGCCCTAATGACTTGTCTATTTTTCTCCGAAAAAGTGACTCGAAAAGCAGTTCAATCATAAACAGAAGAGACTGTAAAGACGATCCATCTTTTCAAAAAACATTTCAAAGGCAACCTTCTCAGAACGTCGATTTTCCTTTAGAAATCCAGTTTTTCAGAATGCACATATTCTTACAGGCCCGATTGTCTTCTCTCAGAATACGTACATGTTATCTATGGATGAGATATATTTGATGCAGTTTTTGCATATTTATTCGAAAGCATCTAAGAAAATAGGCAGTATTTATGAATTTTATCCTAGTTATCTGGAACTAATAACGTTTTATCTTGTATCTCAGCACTCTAAACAATCTCCATATCGTATAATAATGCTCTAAGTCTGTTTAGGTGGTGTTACAAAGTTGCCATAGAGTTTTTTTGAAGTCTTGTTCTTAAAACGAGGCTATAGACGTGGATGGGTGAAGTTGGAAATGCATTTTGAAGCACCGAATATTAATATTTATGTTCACATCCATTCATATACACTGACATTCAGATCCATAGCTACATTTCACATCCTTACTAAGGATGCAACAGTGACGATAACCGTAGGTACGGTTATCGTAGTTGGACCGATAACCGCAGGTACGGTTACCGGTCTATGTACGGTAACCGTACCTACGGTTACCGTAGTTAGACCGGTGAAACGGTGACGGTATACCGATGAATGATCGTCACCGTTGCATCCCTAATCCTTACAGCTACACATACACTCACATCCTCTCATGTAACTGTTACATACAATCTGAAAAACAAGTAAATCAACTTCGTATGATGATATTTATGAGATTTGAGATATATGGATGGCGATAAAAAACATTTCTTTATTTTTCATACACAATTACACTTTAAGTGATCAATTTCAATAAATCATCTTGGTAAATCTTTAGTAGCCCATAAAAGCTTGACGTAAACTCGTCTAAAAGTCGACAGTCAACATTCGTTATCGAAGAATGCAGTTTTAATAATAACCATAAAGAGAATTTGGAACAGCAAGAAAGTATGCTTAACATCTTACGCACGTTAATTCTCGTAACCATACTTGGCTCGTTAGCTTCGGCTATTCGAATCGGTTCCTTTAATTTACATCAATATGGTCCCAAAAAATCATCCAATGCTACATTGACTAGTATTGTTGCCCAAATAATCAATGATTTTGACGTGGCTGTCATTCAAGAGATTACTGATGTGAATTTGAAAGCACCCTATATCCTTTACGAGGCACTTAACAAGGTTTCATCATCGGGTGCCTATACTATGGCATTAAGTGAACGTGTCGGTGATTCAACGTCGAAGGAACAGTACATTTTTTTCAATCGAGAGGCAACTTCTGGCTTACAACTTCTTAGCGCATCTGTCTACGACGACAGTATCTACGATTATTTCGAACGAGCACCGTAAGTAAGCCAGGTGTATCAAGTTGTCTTGTCGAATAACTTGTCTTTGTCCTTTTCTAGGTTCATGGCTACATACAAAATCAAGCAACCAGGCAAATTCGGTGTCAAAACGTTTACTATCATGATCGGTTATTCAGAAATGTTGTTACCTTCTCTTTCGTCGATATATAAATCCGATGAAACTTATTAGTTGAGATTGGTGAATAGACAATGAATGTACATTTGCGACCTGATGATGCCTATCAAGAGTCGATCAATATGCGTCATGTTATCGAAGACTTTATTATTCGACATCCGGAATATTTTTCTCAAACACCAACATCTCATGCCCAAGCTCTCGAACAAAATGTTGTAAATCCTACAGATCAGAATAGGCCGAGTTTGAACACACAACATCCAATTTTGATCGTCGGCGATTTTAATGCAGATTGTACGTACATATCACTTGCACGGCAAGAGCTTCTTCGGTGAGTTTATCAAGATAATGATATGAAAAAAGCTATAAATCTATGTTATCTTTCACAGAAATGTTTTCTTTGCTGATTTCAAATGGATGATCAACAATCAGGTGAAAACAAACACTCGACAAACTTGCACATACGATCGTATTCTTGTCAACGGAAATAATTTTGTTAATGCAATCGTAGCACAAAGTAATACGACAGTAGATTTCGCTAAAACGTTCGGCATGACATTGGACGATGCACTTCGCATCAGTGATCATCTTCCCATCAAGTTTGATATTAATTGGTAGAAGAAACTTTGACATTATGATATTGATATAAAAATCGTATATAATTAAATAAAAATATTTGCATATTCAAATTCCATATAGTCTAGTTAATTTTGATTCCGACAAACGATTCTTTTCATGAACTATTTGTCGAAGTCGAAAAATGCTGATGCAGTCACTTAAACGAAAATGAGAGAATACACAAAATTTTCAGATAGAATACTGGATGTGGCTTTATGAAATAGAGATTTTTCATGAAAAAAATCGGTATAATTCAATAGCTTAAATTATCAATAATATCTTAATTAATCAAAAAGATCAACGGTATGACGAAGATGAACTCAATAGTCGATTGTTGAACTGTTTCAGGCAGAATTCGAACTAAACTAGGGTGTGGGTGTGGGGTGTGAGTGTGAGTGTGGGTGTCGGTGTGGGTGTGGGTGTTGGTGTCCTCGTGGTCCCCTAGTCTTTCATACCCGCACCCGCACCCACACACCCACACCCACACTCACACCCACACCCCCACCCCACCCACACCCACACCCACACCCACACCCTTATCAGACATGAGCAAAATCGAGACTAGACATTGAAAAGCTTTATTATTGGAATCATGACTAAACATAGAGAACTAGAAACTAAAGCAATTATCAATGAAGAAAAGAATGACAAATATAAATGCACAAAGAAAGCTCTTTTCTTTGAAGTACGTGTGGAAAAAAATTGACTGTTGCCACGATAGATAATTTGTTCATTTACATGTATTAATATATAGATCGAGACAAAAAACAAATTATGTCTAATGAATCTTGAAAATATATACATATACAAACACAGTTTTTTGAAATTCTTATAATAATTTGATACAATGAATTTTGATGGTTATTCATGATTCTAGGTATGTAGAACTCAACAGCGATACGTTAGCTTTGTTTAATTTAGTTGTTCATGATAAAAAGCTTTTTCTAGCGCATCGAAATGTTTGATTGATTTTTTTAAAAAATGAAATTGGTACTTTCCAATGTATCAGACGAATTGTTGTTATATCCATGTTAAAGTTTTCTTGAACACTATCGATAATGAATAAACTTCCTGGTAGAATAAGTACTTCACGTTCGTGAGGAAAGCAGGAAATATCTTCGATGGCAAAAATTGTCGACGTTGCTTCACGTACTTCAAAAGTAAATAGAACCCTTTTTTCATTTTCTTTTGGTGGATTTTTAGTTGCGAATCGTAGAGCAATCAATGGATCTTTTGACGTAGATGTGAAAGACTTAAAGCTAAGCACACTTTTTGATTCACTTTGTGCTGCACGTTTATAAATGTTAAATTCGACAGTTGATAGAGTAATACCTCGATAAGTAATGCCAGTGAATGCACGTTGTTTCAATTCGTTACGACGCATAAAAAATTCCATAACGAATCGGTCGCACAAGTGCGGACCGATATGAGCATCCGTTAATGAAGTTACCATATGTTTATTGAGAGGATCATACAGATTAGGTTTGTTACTTGTGTACAATGTGATAAGCGGTTCGATTGAATTAGAATGTCGTGCTTTATTTATCAATTCCATTGTCAATTGGTAATCACTGCTATTGGACACATTATGTTCAAGAAATTGTTTAAAATCAGCATGTTTATCTAAATCAAATGCATCAATATGATAATCATCACGTTCCAAAAATTTACGAAACTTTTGGGTAAACCAATTGTAAAATTTTAGCCACATCGCTAATGCTTCTTGATTAACTGCATGTTCCGAAATTTCATCATCCGATTGGAATTCATGTACATAGTCGAACTTGAAGTTTGCGTTCGTACTATCATTATGCTCCGATGTAACATATATTTCTACAGAATGGGCTGTATTTTCGTCATGAAAGCGATTCGATGAATCTGGTCTATGAAATAATTCTTGCATTTCAGATGTTTTGGCTTCATCATATGCAGTATTGCCAAAACGATTCAGTGTATTTCGACTACAGTTCCGTTCAAGTAACATTTTCACGATCTCTATTTGATTGTAGAATACTGCTGCATGAAGTGGTGTACTGCCATTCGGTTCAAGTGCATTCAATGCGTCAATCGATAGAGAATCAGCAGCATCGAGGATTTGACGTATACGATCGATTTCACCATTACGACAAAGGAAATAGAAATCCGATGCTTTTCCTGGAACGTATCGTCTTGATTGTACTTCTTTGCGTTTGGCGTCCATCATAAGTTCAAAAGGATTTGATTGTTCGTTTCTGTTTTTCATAGTATTAACTAATGAATGAATAGCTTCCATTTTTTATTTCAACTAATGGAATATCTGAAGAAACAAATACAATGTCCATAAAATAACAACTGTAGCATTTCACACAATTAAATAAAGCATTAGAACACAACAACTTGTCCGAAGCATACTCTTTTGATCGAGTTTTCAGACAAGTTGGTTCAACTACAATGGTCCAATTGTCAGCTACGATGAGTTACTAGATTTTTTGTATAGTTTTGAGTGGTTTTACCTTAATCTAGATTTCTATCCATGAAGCCCGATCGATAATGGATTTTGAGGAGTACATCGTCGAAAAATATGTCTTTCTAGAGGAATACAGCTGAAACGACAGTCGATGCAGGAAAGAATTTTTACAGTTTGAAGATCCATTGACAAATAAGATTTATCGACGTAAATGATAACTCATATTTTTTAATAGTTGGGTTCTCTCGAAAGTACACGATATTTTTTCTAAAGTTTTGAAAAATATCTTAATTCTATAATCCATAATCATCCTACGAGTTCTCACTTGTATCTGTGAATTCTATCTTCAAAAGGCTTCCAAATAGTAAAAAACTCATGTTTGAGCTGTGTGTGTAGCTTAAGCTAAATCTTCCAGAGAACGAGTTTGTCATAATATTGTATATCACAGAAGTTGAATGACCTGTAATTTTTTCATTGGCAGTGACAGACACAAGAACATGTCTATTACAGTTTGTGTCAGTATAGTGAGTTTGTGTACAAGTAGGTTTATGATCCTAGGCATCGACTATAAGAGATATTTTGAAGTGTCCTCATCTTGCTTAAGGTAACTTCAAAGTGTTTCATAATATTCATCATGTATAAGTTGCACTAGAAACTATTCCTGTGATTCATTTGCTATTAAAGTATACATTGAAAAGATTGAATTTCTGAAAACTCGATTTCAAAAATTCAATAAATAGACATCATCTCATTGCTGTCATGTCTAGACGCAAATAATCTCTAAAACTTTGATTTGTCGTGAACAAACTAGCCTGTTTATCAAACTTATGAGTTCAACATAGAAAACATTACTTGAAGAAACATGTTCATTTCTACGCGACATGTACATGTTTCATGGGAACCTATTTTTATGTAGAGTGTCGTTTGGTTACATACATACAGGATATTTTTTCTTAATGCTTCAATTTTTCAATCTTTTGCTTTGTAATTTATTAGAAACAGACTTCAAACTTAACTTTCCCATAATATAGAATTCAAAAAGTCATAATGCACTTCGATCTGTGAATAAAAATAATTTTCTGTGTTTCTATGTTTTCTTGCTTATCTACGGCTTGGATGTGAATATTTGGGCAATAGTGAAGACAAGATACCCATCTTCACTCACACTCATATCCATCCACCCATCGATACCGTCACTGATACCTAATAGAAATATTATTAGTATTCTTCTGTCTCTATTTTTGTTTTAAATTTTGACATTCTTCTTGACACTTGTACAACACTGGCATATGATTCCTTTATTTTTTTATTGTTGATCTTCAGCAGCATTGGTGAAAAATAATAAAAATGTTCATTTGAAAATAACATTGCTTAGTCAGATTTCGTGGAAATAGACACGTTTACCTGACCATTCGAATGTCGATTTAAAAAAGCTACAATACTGTCTGCCACTTCATCAGGTTTATCGATAGCCATGAAATGACCACAATCATCGAAAATAATCACTTCTGATTTTGGTATTAATTTTGAAAAGTATTGTGCACCATCAACAGTATACAGCTGTAGCATTAATTAGATTTAACTTCGTTTAGAGTATTTTTTTAAAGCAAGCTTACTCGGTCTTCACGACCCCATAAAATCAACGCTGGGCAAGTTATTTGATTGAGCTGTTGATATCGATGAGCAAGATACGGATAGTCGTATTCGAGGAGCGACCTTAGGACTAGATGTGATTGAAATAATTCTTATTTTATTGAAGATTTTTAAAAATTCTTAATTACCGTTCTTATGTTCTTCAAGTAATTGAAGTCGTAAATTAAGAAATCCATTGAGAAACGGTCTAGGTAAATTGATTGATTTTACCGTTAAAGAATTTATCATATCACAGAGTTGTTCTGTTGTTTCTGGAAGAAGTGCTTCATAATTTCCCTGACGTAAATGTTTAATTCGATCAGTTTCACATTGCTCATCAGCTGAAATATTGAAATGAAATGTAAATATTGTGTGTCGTATCTCGTGAGAACTCACCAGGTGGCGCGAGCAAACAGATCAAGCTCACATAACTTGGATATTTAATTGCAAACATGGACACTACAGCACCACCCATGGATGCACCAATGATGAACAACTGGCCGGTGAAATTCATTTTGTCGAAAAACTAGAAGTACACATTTCGTGCAGAATTTCATTAGAGATGAAAGAAAAGTTGATGATTACTAATTTGAGTTTTTCAACAAATTTATCAATCGTATAGAACTCTTCTTTCATACCAATTGTTTCTCCATGGGCAGGTAAGTCTACTGTAATACAATGATAATTGCTTGGAATATTCTACACAAAATAAGAGTCATATATAAATATATATTACGCGTGAATATTGGTAGACGATTCGATTTACTTTAACAATTGGTAGCCATGTTTCTTTATTCGATGAAAGTCCATGAACAAATACAATGGTCGGTTGTCCATCTACTTTCGAACCCTTTTCACAATAACTGAACATACTCGTTGCATCATCATCGATCGACAAATACTTCTTTTGCAGACCAGCACGATATGTATTGAATCTTAATTGAAAGTAACATTTGATCCATTTTATCTATATTCTCTATTATTTTCTTTTACTTACTTATAATAGCATTGCATAAGCCAGGCTTCCCTATAAAAATCAACAGAAATTCAAATTATAAGTGTCGTGTATATTTGTAACTGAAGATATTAGTCTTACATTTTTCGACCAAGTTTTATTAATTTCTTTGAATTGGTTTTTTCGCGTGCTTAAAACAAATGAGAACTAGCAAAATGCAGACACATCGTTGTGTTTTTTTTTGGTGACGCAATTTATCTTCCATAGGCAAAATCAGAAATATCATGGTAATGAAATCTGTGAGCCGTGACCATTTACATTAAATAAGTTGGCAACTTCCAACTCAATTGCCATGATTCATTGTAGCAATTAACTTGGAAATTTTTACCTCAATTAGCTATGTTGGAAGTTACCAACTTCCTTCCTGTGATCGTTTACAGTAGATGACGAGTCATCATATTTTCGGCCCTGAAGTATTTTGTGAAATTGCAGTTTCTTGCTTTGTAAGTAATATTCAAATGTCCTCTTTTGAATGCTCTATGAGGCATAAGGCATTACGAAATGTGATTGAAAACGTGTGTTGAAGTATATAGCGAGAAAAGTACTCCCCTCTCTCAATATCACAGATCTTGATAGATATATCGCTGCCTTTCACATTCTGTGACCGTTTCAAGAAGTTTTTGGCATGTCCCAGGAAGTCACCAGTGCTAAAAACGTGTTTAAATGTACTACAACAAAAAGAAAAAGTCGTTTTTCTCTCATCAACTGGGGCTGCGATTCTGAGCAAAAACGACCATTTTTTTTTCTATGGGTTTGCCTGCACTTTCGACAGCTTGTGACAATTTGCGAGCATTTTAACCTGCTGGTCTTCCACCCACAAAAGTACGGTATTCAACATTGTTTGATTTCCTTCGTCTTCAATGAAGTGCCCTCATCGTATTCTACACTTTAATCCTATAGGTATTACGCGGAAAGCTTTTCTAAGTGATTAGCGTTTGTATTAAATATAATTCCATAAAATCTGCATTTAAAATGATTATCTAAGTACACATATGTCCAAAAAGATTTTATTTTTTTGGTAGATAAAAATAAAATTGGTGACGCAATTATCAGTGACATCAATATGAGTTTTGAGGGCGAACCATTTATATGTCATTCTAAGTATGACCAGCTTCCATTGAGCGGTCGACATTGGTCAGTAGTAATCGGTGAACCTTGCGCAGTTGTGCTCATTGTACATGGGTCAGGTGAACATAGTCAGCGATATAATCACGTTGCCCGATTCTTCAACGAACATCGATTGGCATGTGTGAGCTTTGACTTACGAGGCCATGGAGATTCGGGTGGTGAACGTGGCTACTTTCCTCACATTAATGCTGTTCTCGATGATCTCGAATGTATTAGTCAATACATTCGTATTGAACTTTATCCTGATATTTCAATTATCATCTATTCTCATGGTACAGGATCTGCGTTATGTCTGATCCATGATATTCAACGGCCTCAAACACCTCTAGATTGCCAGGCTATGATTGTAAGCACACCATCAATATGTCTCAGAAAACGTCCTTCAACAATACAGCTTTTCTTTGTGCGTGCATTTGCTAATTTGAATCCTCACTTTCGTTTACCTATTGAGGGTAACTATACGAATATCTATACGAACGATCCGATTGTTGTTGAAGCTTATCGTAAGGATATACGTGTTCATGATCGATGGCCAGCAGCGACTGTTGCTATTCTGATGGAAGTCGGAATTTATTTTGAAAAACATATTTTTTATGCATCATGCCCAACATTGGTTCAACATGGAGGTGCTGACAGCATCACACCCATTAGTCGCATTAGAAAGTGGGTGTATGAACGTATTAGAGGTGAAGTAACATACAAAGAATGGCCAGGGCATTACCATGAACTACATAATGATTTGGACAAAGAAGAAATTTTGGCCTATGTAGTTGAATGGATAGAAAAGCAATTAAACATTTGACTGTATTACATTGTAAGATTTTACATTTTAAAAATAATGAAATTATCAAGGTGATGTGTAGATAGAACACTAAATTTGCTTTAAAAAATCATGTTTTCGGTTTACAACAACTTGATATTGGATCAAACTTTAACATGTACATTTTACTAATCAATCTTAACAAAAGAAAAATGATTCTGCGCTGAACACCGTTCTAACCAACAATCTTGTGCCTAATGTTTTCTCTAAGTTTGTATTGAACATAATTTAGATAATTTACCCATTTCGCACTTTTTTGAATCAAACTAGACGTTAGTCATTTTCAATTATATGGCTTGTTGATGAACAAGGATTGTTGAGTCGATGTGTGCACGGGAGAAAGAAGACTCTTAGAAACTAATTGAGGACTTGCTATAGTTTTTGAGGCATCTCTTCAATTGACTTTTCTTTCTTGATGTGATTTATAGTACTGGTTTCATGTTGTATAAGTAGACAACAGCTTATCTCAACCAAAGAACGCATTCAACTTAATTGATTGTTTACTTTATAGAGAATATCTGCTGCTAATGAAGCTAGGATAAAAGTGTTCACAGTCTAGACTACAAAGGTTTCCATACAGGGTGATTTAACTGTATATTTAATACGAGACATGACGTTGATTAAAGTTGGTTTCAAATTCGGAGGTGCAGAAGGTTCTTCTTTCGATAATTTGTTAATATTAATTTCATATGTTTGCATCATTTTCATGGTATGATTGCTGCATGCAATGTCATTTCTTTGGAGTGAGTTCAAGTTCCGTATTCATCTCATCATGAAAATGACACTATTCTTGAAGTGAAAATTGCAATATGCTCAAAAGATGAATGATTCAGGTGATCCACCATGGCGTAAAACTCATTAATTTTGATATGAAGACTAAACTGAAACTTATTCAATGTTGTTTTGCGTTTATTGTTCGATACATGCCTCGTGATATTATGAGCTTAAGCTATCGTCATTAGCATGATTAAATGTACCATTTCATCTATAGATATTGTAGGAAAATATTCACTATGCATAGGATCGGAAGACAGATAATCTTCGTTTCAATGTGATAGACTTGTGTAAAACTAATAATCTGAAATGAGATCTAGGTAACTATATGTTTTCATCTTCATTAGTATTTTGTGACGCCAAAATATTACTGAGTTGGGCCTTTCTCTGCAATGCAGATAGTACATAAATATTAATCATGACTGTTTCTCAGAAATGAAACCTATATCTCTCATTATTAACAACATATAATTCTTGATTTCTTGTTTATATGATGGCTTCTATTCAAACTACAATTTGTTGTGCACAAATTTTATTAATTTTTTCATTTCCATTTCTGTTACAGGCAGTTGAAATCATTTCGAATATAGTCTATTCAATCGTCTCCGATTATTTTTTTTTGTCATTTTATCAAGTTTTTCTTGTAATTTTTTTGAACATTCGTCTGAATTTTTCGCATACGTTTTGGCATCGATAACATGATCAGTTTCGTCCTTAGCATGTCTTAGTGTCTCTTTGACATCAGACGCTACTTTTTCAGCTGCTTTTTCCGATTTGGTTGCTTTCGACGCGAAAATATCGACTTGGGTTCTCATTCATTCCATTTCAAAACGAACATTTCTCTGCAATTCTTTAGGATTTTTTTCGTACTCTTGTTTTTGTCCGCCTATAGTGTTTTCACGCCATCTCAACCTGTCATCCATCACTTTTTTACATTTCTGCTTTACGTTTTTCGATTGAATCTACAAGCTCCTGTAAATATTCTACTGATCTTTTTGCTGATTGCTCACTTGCCAATGCTAGATTCTTTCGCTTTTATCAATGCATCAATAGTTGTGATCGATCGTTGTTCTGCTTTTTGGACAATAACATTTTTTTTACACTCTTCATTCGCAAACTGCTCTAATTTTAGTATTCGTTTTTCTATCACTGCTTCTAGTTGCCGTTGAGATTGCTTGACTTGATCAATTCATTTTTTCGTTGCCGTGTGATATTCTGCTTTTCGTGTTTCATTCATATGTTCTTGATACTTGTTCAAGGCCTTTCACAATTTCTTCATAAAATGCATCAATGGATGTTTGAAATAGTGTTGCTTTTGAATTGAAATAATCTCCAAGTACATTTTCCTCGATTGTTACTTGATCAACAACATCCGAGCGAACTTGTTGCATCCTATATTTGATCTGATCAAAATCAACAAGTAAATTTTGCTATTTCATTGAGTCTGAAAGCGACATTGCCGTTTGTTTTATATTGGGTTCATAGTATAAACAACTCGTACTTTCACCATCTGCTCGAAACAAACCAACATTGTCAAATATTTCTGGAAGAAATTTTCTTCATTGATCGACTGCTTTGATTAGCTACTGTTGTTTTACAATCGACTGACCACCAGCTTTGTCGGTAAACGGGCCCAAGTAGACATAGATGTATTGAGAAGAGTCATCTTCGATAGATTTACTCACTGATAACGGATATGAATAGGTCTCGCCTCCAGCAACGACTATTACTCATCCGAATAAATGTTTTAATGAGACAAATCCACCATTGTTCATTGGAATTTCATGCTTTCTCATTTGGAAACTAAATGTCTCGGTTATTTTGTTGCCCATTGTTTTTTTTGTCTTATAACACGAAGCTACAATTGTTCGGCCAACGATTGATTTGGAACAAAGTTTTCGATGGTTTCTTTTTTATTATTGCCTTTTTTTTCATCTTCTTTCAACGAATCAATAAATTCAAGCCAAGACATATAAGACATCGAGAACAATGATATTTTCGTTCGGTTCTCCATCGAGTTTCTTATTTGCCCAACTAAAGAGTGTTGTCGGTACATAGCTACCTTCAACTTTTTTTCTTTATATCAATCAATTCCAACTGTTCTTCGTCGTACAATCTTAACAGTCCAGTAGATTTTGTTGCAGTTTTTTCTAATTTTTGTTATGTTTTGTTTTATCAACAACGGATACAATCATTGTGATCACTTGTTTTGGTAAGAATGTGATTAAAAATTCCCAAAGAACATTGTAGTTGCAAGTTTTAAGTCGAACCTTTTTAACTTCCTCCTTTTCATTACAGACGTTAGACTCGTTTCGTAGTTTTTCAGCAACGGCAAACGATGCTGAACGACATTAATGATGTGATTTAGACTGCTCTAGAACATTCCAAAATCTTTCTTGAAATTTTAATGGCTGAGATACGTCTCTGCATGCTCTAGACAGTGACACAGTTGTCATGTGATGAACATTAAAGGCATGAGTTAATCAAATTATAACTTTGGAAAATAATCAATATTAATGTTTGTGAATTGACTGATGTACATAATAGTGTGTTAAGACCTGCTGCTGTAAATATAATAGATATGTGTAACAGGCTTATTTGTCAGCTAATTCCATACTTACAATAATAACAATGTAAAATTGAGAAAGAGAAAATACGAGAAAGAAAAATAACGAGCAAATAGCAACACGACACAAAATAGAGCGCCCGCAAATAAACGGTAAACTTATGTTCGAAATACTGAAATAAATATGACAAATCTTGACTTTCCTAATAGATTATCTCTTTCACTTTATCTATTTTGCATTGATTTAATGAGGCGAAACAGCATTTATGAACTCCACATTTTGACTCTAAAGGGACTGCGCTCACATGTTTGTATTCTATTTTCCTCTATAAAATGCTAAATAACTACCAGTAAACCAAATCAATGAAGAAAAAAGAAACTTCTTTTTTTCCACAAGACTCTGGAAAACGATCACTGAAACTAATTGAATAAAACAAAGCAAAACAAACGGATATATTTGTTTTTTCTGCAATAACGTACTCAACAGCTATCTAAATAACTCAATGAGGAAAGGAAAACTAAAACTAATTTTTTTTTATTTTGATTCTCTGATAAAGTAAACGAAAACTAACAGGAGAACGAGATAAAAAGAGAAAAATAAAGTTGCATTCGTAATTACATTTCTCTTATCACATGTGGAAAAATATTGGTAAAACTCATACACATAAAGGACACTAAAGTAACGTCTTTTGTTTTTACTCATAAAGTGACGGACACTTATCATAATAACTAAATGAAGAAAAAGAAAAGTTAAGGTAAGTTTCTGATTACAGTTCTCTTATAAAATGTGCAAGAAGTATGAGCATAAGTAAATGAAGAAAAGAAGAAAATCAAGCTGGTTGATTTCGTTCTTTATTTGTCCTGAGATACGCCAGAACAACGTAATAATCAAATAAAGAGAAGAAAAGAAACTAAATTATCTTATTCTATTCCTAGTATACGATTCTAGTCAACTATCGTTATGATTACATCGTAAAAAAGTCGTAAAATAATCTACTATTGTACTCAGAATAATAAACCTTACTGAAGAAAACATAGACTATTCTGCTTCTATACGTAGTATAGTAAACTCTTCTTCTAAAATCTTAGAATTATGTTTCATTTTTAGTAGAATAGTTAAACCTTTGGGTAAAGTCCTAGAGCAACCTATGCTATTACTGAAATCATAAAATAAGTTACTCTTGTGTGTAGAATTATAATTCCTGTAGCTCATAAAACCTTGAAGGGTATTCATTACAGTAAATTCCACGATTGATGAAAGCTGCAACTAGGAAGCAACCAGATAGTGAATGCAAATGAGAAAGTATAGTAAGCGTGTGCATGAGCTGCAATAAATATGGTAGAGATAAAGTAAAGATTAATAAACAAATAATCGTCTTGTAATTCAGTGATATTCAACGTGAATTCGATTCTAGTAAAAAGAATTTTTTGCATGAAAAGTTTTCAAAACAAATAGCAATTGATGAAAATATTTATTAAACATAAAAGTTTGTACAGACCACATGGTATACAATAAATATCTATTGTACATAGTTTATGATGAAAGTAACATTGTTGAAGATGAACCCTGCTAGGTGTTCAATAACGAAAACAATAGTTGCAGATATCAATTAATAGAAAGATAATTCATAAAAATATTCTTATCGGTATATAAATACTGAACACTCTTAGTGATACAACACAATCAATGTCACCTAAAAAATATCGTACTTTCACCTGTCTGATAATCTTCGTTGTTCTTATTACTAACAAAATACTTCTACGCAGTTCAAACATGTGACAATGTTTCTTTAATTTTTTGAGATTTTTTCATTATTACGCTTTTGTTAATAAAAAAAATGTTTTTCTTCAAGATATAATGTTTAGATTGATGCGGTATATTCTTATGAAAGTACGCACGGTTAAGAACTGGAAGTTAACAATTGCTGATAACGTGCTTAAAGGTAAGCCTTTTATTATTTTTTTTTTCATACTTTTTGTATGCAAATACTTATGTTAAATATCTGATTTTTTTCTAAACTGTCAGAGAGCAAATTTTCTTCTTAACAGCAAAAAGATAAAAGACACGTGATTGTGATAGCATGATATTGACTCAGATAAAAACTTTCCGCTCATAAAAAGTGATAAATGCAAGCTCTGAAAATATTTCATTGTCGGGCACCAAATTGAAGTTACTCTAATCTTCTAATAATAGAAAAACTTTGTTTTCTGTATGCTATCTTGTTGTGTTCAAAATGCAGACCTTTCCATCAAATATGACGTGAATGAAGAAAAATGAGAAGATTTGAATGTTGGTATTCTCTCTTTTTACATTTCTCCATCCATGTAGTCATAAAATGAATAATAATGTGGACGAGATTCTCGTCCTATGTACTTTTTTTGAGTTTCGAAACACCCAAATGACTAATTGTAAACAATTCGGTACCTAAAGTGTTGTACAACACTACAATCAAACACTATTGGCGATGAGTAGCGTTATTTCTACTTCAGAAATAATCTAAATTCTCAATTCCAATAGAAAACTAAACAATGTGCAAAAGTATATGTAATGATTAATTTGATTGAGATGTTGGTGAGTTATCGTCTCATGCTTATTTTTTTTTGTTATCCTTCTCCAGATATTTTTCAATTCGGAAAAAAAATACAATCATTTTTATCGATGAGTAATTCCCACGCAATTGACTCATTGTTTCTTTGCTTTACAAAAAAGCATTCATACGACTCCTTCCAAAAACAGAACGAAGAAAAAAACTATTACTCAAGACTGTAGCAACACGGGCGACTTTTTCCTCATGTTTTACTCTTTTTTCGCGACGCTATCGATGATGACCGTGTAATAGTTTGCATCATGTAGATTCATACAAGTTGGTAACTCTACGAAGTACATATAATGTGGCGACGATTTCATGATCAAAATGGAATTTATTTGCCGACTTTTTCGACATGATTAGATAGGACTCGTGAAATAGTATATACAGTAGAAGAGCCAGGTTTTTGTGTTAGAGGGAGACTTAGCCTTCCTCTCATAAGGACTTTTTCGAGTTCTCTGGCAAGATTTTTGAAGAAAAAATACATCTTCCGGAAATCTTGTTAGAAGGGCTCAAGAGTGTGTAGGGGAACGCTATAAGTTCCACTGCCTCCGTCACTTTATGTATAGAGACATCTATTGTAGTTCTGTTATTTAATACATGACCTGAAAAAATCATTTTTTTCGAAACTAACACTAATATAATGAAAATTGATTCTAATTCAAAGGTTCTTCACATCAGAAATGTATTTTACGAGTACATGACTATGATATTCTGAAAGAGTATTTAAAAAATTGTGTATTAAAATATATGTTCCCTCCGAAAGTATTTTTCATCTAAAATCAATCGACATTTTTCGCTCAAAGAATTTTTTTTGGGTTTAATCACGGATACAGTTTTGACAAAATATATTTTCAGAGAAAATCTGTATTGTGCTATCAGTTTTGTAACACTGATTTTGAATATCATAGTCATTTACTCGTCAAACACCTTTCTAATTCGAAGAGTCACTAAATAAGGATCAGTTTTTACTAGATCAGCGCTTTTTTTAGCAAAACGAGTTTTCTCAATACATGTATTAAATAATTGAAAATCTATCACCGTAATTTTTTTAGTTTAGTTATCATTACCATAGTTATAATCATTGAATTTAATTCAACTTGTGGTGTACTAGTAAAGACTCACTGCATTGTGAAAAGATTTGTTGATCACTTCTGATCTCTTCACAATCTTACTGACGAGCTCGCGAATACTCGATCGTTTTTCATTTTTTTATTGATGAAATTCATTCCTCTATAGACAGTTAAGCACTTCTAAATCTTAATGAAAATGATCAAGTCAAAAATATGATAATGCGTCTTACATGAAGGCTAGCTTTGAAACTTTTAGACAGAAAAGTATGTGTAAAGATCTTTTCCCAAATAACAAATACAAGATGCTAAAATAGATGTCTCTACATTCAGCTCGACGATTTCTAGACAACTGTGTCCAAAAATAGTCGGAAAATAAATCACATCTCAATTTCGTGTCATTTGTACATGATAATCGTAAGTACTTATTTTACATTAGTTAATTTTGGTCGTACCGAAGAAAACTCGAAAAAAATAATTTCAAAGCTTGGTGAAAAGACAGACAAATTTGATATTGGTCAAACTTGTTTTTTAAAATCCTTTTTCATTATCATTCTACACTTTGATATTCATCATACATTAAAACAGTAGGTATAGTGTTTCTTCTCATACACAATAATATGTAAGGCTTATTTGACAAATACATATTTTATTTTTTGAAATACCTTACACACTAAAGTAAATTTTATTAAAATAGACATATATGCAACACACATTCTTTTTATTGAAACTTTTTTGGAGACCAACATATTGAAAGAGAAGCTGAAATTTCAGATTTTATAAGCAATAATATCGTCAAATTAACTTAATGGCTGCTGTTGTATGTGATACTCACGAGGACTCATGGTTGCCTTCTATCATCGATCAATTGTGGTGTCCGAAATGTTCCTCCGAAACGATAGATGTGCCTTTTTGTGATACATGCCAACAAATATTAAAGCTATTGCTAGAAAATCTTTCTGATAATGACCACTCAAAATCAATCATGCTTCGTTCTCAATATACACAAAACGACAAAACTTTAAATGAACAGTGGGAAATATGTGACCAATCAAAGCCTACATCAGTAAGTCATTAATTTATACAATAGTTTAGCCGAAATTGTAGTTCTTTTACATTCAGGATAATAATCAAACCACTTTGATCAACTCCGAGGCAGCAGCTTCTATTACATCTATGTCATTAACTGTTCGTGATCGTCGACATAAACATGAATCCGGTGCTGAAATCATATTTCAAAATATAATTAAACAATGTAAAAAGGTATTTGATAGCATCAATAGTTTCACTTTGTATTTATCGAAAGAAATAGCAGGCTAATGTAAACTTTTTTTCTTTTATCTTTGATTTCAAAAGTCGAACATGTCGTTTCAGAGTGAGAAACAAGAAAATTGAAGTTTATAACTTAACATATAGGAAATTATTAGCACTGAAGTTATTTCAATTTTTTAATAACCTTTACATCTAAGTAAAAAGGAAAGACAATTAAGTCATATTTAATTATCGAAGAAATTCCCATAAAATACTTTCTGACGTTGGTATATGATTTATGTATCTAGAATAAGACACATTTTGTTGACAATCACTTTCCTCATTCAACACAATCTATCGGATCAGACTCATTCACACAAGTTTCCAAATGGCTAAAAATATCAAATGTTGCTCGTTCATTCGATGATGATCGTAAATTACCATGGACAATATTTTCATCACCTACACCAAGTGATATTCAACAAGGTGCTTTAGGCAATTGTTGGTTAGTGGCTGCGTTAGCTTTGATATCTGAACGACCTCGTTTACTTGAACACATTCTTCTTACAAAAACAGTTAATAATGAAGGTATTTATCTGGTGCGTATTTGTCACAATGGTTTGTGGAAAACAATTATTGTTGACGATTACTTTCCATGCACAAAACATAACCATCTTGTCTTCGCTCAAGCCAAACGTCGTCAATTATATGTTCCATTGATCGAAAAAGCGTGTGCGAAATTATTTGGTTCTTATGCCGCTCTAAAAAGTGGAAATATGCGTGAAGGTCTTCAATTATTGACTGGAGCACCATGTGATTATATCGATCTTAAACCATCGGATACTACACTTGATGGTGATATCATCTGGGCTAAACTGATATCTGCTTGCGAATCGAAGTAAGATGAAGAAAATCTATTGTAAAACGAGGGAAAAAAATTTACAATTTAGATTATTGATTGGCGTAGCATCAGGTGGAACTGGTGTGAGCTCAAAAGAATATGATCGTGTTCATATTCATAATAATCATGCGTTTTCTGTCCTTGCTGCACATGCACTCGGCAGTAAATTATCTCGATTTGTGCTTGTTCGTGATCCTCATTCTCATTCGGACTATCAAGAAGAATCGGTGACAGATAGTGTTCTCAAACAATTACGTTTAGTTAATCCTGCACAACGTTCTGATGGTGCTTTTTGGATATCATGGCCTCGATTTCTTCGTTATTTTTCGTCATTAGTTATTTCAACTTATAATGGTGATCTTTTTGATATACGCGAACAATGTAAATTTACTCGATCATCTATTCAATATTTACCGACTTATCATTTTCATGTACCAAGGTAATCATATTTTTATTTTCAGTTTTATTTTTTGCTAATTTTATATGACATCTTTAGAACATCATTCGTAAATATAAGTTTGGTACATCATCGTCATGATCGAAAAACACGTAGTTCTCATACTCAGTCATTTGTTCTGTGCGATGCTGATGAATTAAAATCAACTGGCACTGTTGGTAAACGTGAGAGTATATTAATGTGTAAACGTGGAGGTTTCACATATTGGACAGGATCATTAAGAGCTGGTTATTATGTACTTATACCTTTCTCTATTAGTTTCTGGCAAAAGGATAAAGAAAATAGAGATTTTACTCTTGTTATACATTCAAGTGTACAATTTAATTTATCTATCAAAGATAAACCGGCAACATTGCTCACTGATTGTCTGATTTCAGCTGTTAAAAAAGATTCTAAAAAGAAACAAGTTTGTCTGTTCGTTTTTCTTGAAAACATTAATTTAACAATAAATTGTTTTTATTTTCAAGGACAATGATGCTATCTTTTATACAACATCAGGTGAATTAGGATTGACGATATTCGTTGCCGAGAATGTATCGATAACAAATTATCTAAGTTTGGATATCAATATACAACTTGCAAAAAATGTTCGTCATTCTCGTTTCATTGGCTTCCCAAATAGCACTCATGATTCTATTCCACCACGACATCGTCAATTAATATTTATTACAGAATGGATTGATAAATACGGAGAATCGGCTCGTTTGCGTTATTCGTATTCGCACATACATGAAAAACGAGTAACTAATCCAAGACCATTCATTGACATTTCTCAATACGATTTGCACTCACCACGAGCGTTTTAGTTTTATACATTATAAAGGTGATCGTATGCTTGAAGTCGATAATAAAAGCCCTTTGATTAATGTTGCAAATCAACAGTTGTTTTTTTTTCAATGTTGTTCAAATGAACAATAAGCTTTTGTCAGAGTTATTGTTATTCCATCACTTTGTATTAATATCTGTGAGAGAGAGAGATGTGCAAGCATAGCACATTGATCATCGGTGTTTGTTCAGACTTTTTAGTATTTTAAGATATTTTTGCAATTGATTTTATCTATGAGTCTTTCCATATAATGTTTTCGCTTGGTATTATTCGATTTTCAATCAAAATTTTCGAGTATTTAATGGTGCAAACACATGCCAACATTTCATTCATCTAGAAAAACTACACCATATGTTATTGAACTGGCATCCTAATCTGTTATGATAAAAAGAAAAATAATAAATTTCAGTTATAATTGTTAATAATTGTTGAAAGTTTCGAACTCTGAAATAAGATATACAGTGACCATTGAACTTGAGGAATTTAATTCTTGAAGATCATAAACTAACCAGTCAACTCTTGCTACAGATGAATCATAAACGCTCAATTATATTTTAATTGATTTACCATTTAAAACTTAACAACTTTAGCAATGGAAACAAAATCTTCAAATTCTTCAGCCTATGTAATTATATTTCTTGTACTCTTTGAAAAGTTTAATTTGTCAAAAAATTCCAATTTATGAGAGAACAGCCACCTTGTTTCTTTTTTTTTTTACATCTGTGTATAGATAACAATTTGCATACATCTTTAACTTTAAAAATACTATCAAAGTATCAAATAAAATGAAAACATGTCTTCGACTGACACATTCATTGATACAAATGAGGAAACTCTATGAGTTATAGTTTAACACATTCGATCCGATGTAGCCCACCGGTGAGCTACGCTATAATTTAACGAGAAACAGTATGGAAAAGCATTTTCTTTTGCTTTTTTCTTAAGTAGGAGGCTAAATATAAGGAGTCAACTGTGCTGCCTTTAGTATTTTATTTGAGTTCTTTACTCCATAGCATAATGCTTATCATTAAAACACTCAAGACAAAAAAATTTATCACAGTCAGAACAGAAAGTTTTTACTTTCTTTGCTGCCGCACGGCTGGCTTCTCTTGAGTGTTGGGCTCGTCCCTTCGCATAGCAGCCAGTGCATCGTCTGCCGACATTGCGCGTAGATCCTTCTTTTTCTTCGAGCTTGTGATCAGCGAGTTTGTATGCTTCGTATAATATGAAAAAGAACGAAAAAGTAACTTGAGCGATTATTCAGTTGGTCAGAAAAAAACTACTCATTATGTAGTGATATAAAGAAGAGAATGACAAATAATCAGCAGAAGATAACGAAAAGATCATTAAATACATTTATTAGTAGTTAACTGTCCATGAAAATGATCACCTCAAAAAAATTTTCTAAGAAAATCGAATCGGGTTGAATGTGTTAAATACCGTCTGGGCTTGCTGTCTTAGCTTTTCTGAACTGGACGTGGGCTTTGACATTTTTGTATTTATTGATATTTGAGAATCTAAAACAAAAATATCATGTGATATTGAAAAGCTAACTTTAGTCATAAAAAGTTATCGGCAATAAAAAGCAATGTATAACTGGAAGAGTTGGAAACTTTTCTACCATAGATTCAAACAGTGATTTCACTAGATAATAATGCGATTTATGAGGAAATTCAATTGCATATTATGAAGGTCCACGACACTTCAAAATCAGATCGAAACAAATATTTTAACATACTTTCATAAACTAAAGCAAGTAACGAAAATGGATATGCGTAAATTATAACATATAAATACAACGGATTATAGTGAGATAAGGACTATATTTATACTTGCTGTACTTTCGATGTAAACAAGTAATACGATACTGGAAGAAACCGAAAGGTTGTTATATGCCATCCATAATATAAGACGCTAAATGAAAAGTTTTTTTCAAAGTTATTAGTTGTTGCATTTCTTTTTAATCAGTGAATCATTTCCTTCCAATTCAACACGAAGTACTCTTTTCTCGTGATCAACATGATAAATAAGCGATTAGCGAGGTGTTATTCAATAGTTATTACATTAGTCTACAGCAGAAGCGATTCACAGAAAATTATGACGAGAATTGAATAAAGCAGCTTTCAGTTACATGATCTCTGCAGTAAGCAAATGTTGCATATACCATTAAGTTTCTTGACACAATGTGACTAAACAAGAAAATCAAATGCAAAGTATTTTGACAAATAAGTTGTCAATGTATTTCAGGTCACGTCTAACACAACACCGATCAAACAACCTGTCATTAATTTGGAATATGAACCAATAATCTTTTTTTAATTTGTGACTTATATACAAGCAATGTGTAACATAAAAAATTCAACTTTTGTTAATTATGTTCACTTAGTTGCTGCATAATAAACGGTCATCTCAATGGCGTGTTGTTCGCTGTTCTTGATCTTTGCGAACTAGTGTCATTTATCGGACGATCAGCATTGCGACATTGTCTGTCGATGCTGGTATTCTAAGATGCAAATGATCATTGATCGATCTTCTCTTTCTGGTCTAAGATGTTTTCAAACCATACGTACACTCATCGGTGCCCTATTTTAATATGTCATTTAAATCAGCTTTCTTTACAATTTTATCTTCTTTTTCATGTCTGTAAGACGCCGGCAAAGAATCTTTTTTTTTATTGAGGAAACACAAAATATCATTGCCTCGCTTTGTTATATATACTAGATATCAGTCATCGTTTGATTTACTTTTCAGCTGGCTTTCAAGCAGCTTAGGATGATGATTCACGCATCTTCAAAATAGTCAATTTAAGAAAAATGTCGACACCACCATTCACTTAAATTCTTGGTGATAGCGGTTTTGCTAATAAATCATCAATACTCACAGGTCACAGCATACAAATGCAATGAAACTGAAATGCCAATGTAACATAGTTTGAACGATGAGTCATCAGTGTGACTATCTCTTCTTATCGTGTTTACGTGAAACATGTAACATGCGAAATAAAGTTCAATAAAGTACCCTCGATAGCACACCATTATGAACTTCTTAACAAGAAACTATACAAGTTGATCAGCTTCTGTTGTGTTGCATTAGCGAATAAACCTTGTCAAGACTTTCATATTACTGCTTCTACATAAAATAAATTCGATAAAATTTTTCCTACATAGAGACTTATAAACCATCAAAGGCTAGTAAATCACTAGGAGTCACCAAAAGTTATATATTGTCATACATCTGTTGACATTGTGTGAAAGTTCATATTTCATATCTTCTCTATAATAAAAATTTGTTTGAACCCTTCAAAAAAATGAAAATTCTAAACACTATTTAGATAGCAGTGATTCGCTCAGAGCCACAACGAGTCATTTTCAATCATTTCTATAGTTTTATAATGTTAACATTAATATATCATCTCTCACGTATAGCAGAAGTTTGATTGAAAATTTTCTAAAAGAGAAGATTTACAAAACCTTCGGGTGATTGTGAGTTACTGCAACTCGTAACAGACATTATCATATTTCGTTTTCTTTCATTTCAATGTGTTACATCACGTTAAAAATGAATATACGAATCTACTTCTCTATGAATAATCTGTAATTACGACAGAATGAGATAAAGTGATCAGTTGTGAGTGAATTACTGCTCATTGTCTTTTACATTCCTGTTGTGTTCTCTTCTTTTTTTAGACAAATATTTATGCATCGATTTTTAATTTTTTCATACTCTATTTTACTTGTCCATCTTTACAGAACTATTCATAATCTAATGAAATATGACGAAAAAAACTAACCATTAAAAACATGCGTGAAAAAGTAAGGCAAAGCGAAATCAATCGTGTATTTGTGATTTTTCGCTAGATATTCAACTATATCAAGTGTTTGAATAGCTTTATTTATTGTATGGATGTCCAGATCTTTATTGATGTTTAATTCCATACAAAGATAGATATTTTAAATTGTTTGATCCAAATAGCGTTTCACATAAACTGTAACTTCTTATTCAGTTGTTATCACATTGCCTTTGACATTTGCTCTTAAATAGTGGTTAACAATTCAAACAGATATATTTCAAGTAGTGAATGTCAATTGAAATTTGTAGTCTATCATATAATTTCTTTATGAATAAAAAAGAACCTATGGTTTTAATGCAAAACAAAATTTTCTAGAAGCAACTGTAATTCTATCAATTCGTTTATGTACTTAATTAACAAGATATAGTTTGATGTGGGTGCGATCTATTTATATTATTGATTCATTTCATTGCTTGTCCGTTCTTCATAGCTAAACATACCTCATTTGTTTACTCTTTTTTAGCCAATAATAGTCTTTGTCTGCGATCAAAGAACACAAATTAAATGCTTTTTGAAGAAAGACGTGATAGTTGTAACGTATTAGATATACGTATATCTGATTGTGAATCAATAAATAAAACTGAAATAAATTTGTGGAAGAGTATTGAATTATCTAAAACTTATTATTTGTGAATATTTTCCATAATTATCGGTATAATTGTTTCCCAATAACAATTTGCAATATGTGCGATAAAAATCACTTTAATCCTTTTGCCAACGATCAAAAAATATTTTCTATGTAGGTGTTACAATGGCGAAATATTGTCACAAAAACAAATGCTTGTTTCAGACATTAAAATGATTAATTTGAATTAAATGAGAAGGCTTTAAAAGATAAGATCACATTTTTATGTCTGAAACAAAATGCGTTTTTTTGGCATTTTTCGTGACAGTTTTTTTATCATGATTTTGATTATTTTAATGCTATTTCATCTTCGGAATATATGCCTAGAAAATCCTTGAGCGACTGTTTGTAATACTTCTCTACAGAACAGGATAACATTCGAAAGATTTTTTCAACATTTCTCTAGACTCATCTCTTGACTGTAGTTAACGGATCATCTAGAATAAAATTACCAGTTTTGTTGTCTTCTTTTGAGGCATTATCAAAAAAATTTTAAAATCAGATA